AGCGGCAAATTATTATGAAACACTATTTGAAGCACCGGTGGTCGTTCATCCGCATCCATATGTTGATGCCCCTACTGTGCAATGTGTAAACGTGTCGGAACTTATACCACTAGTCACTTATCCAGAAGTTTTAAATGTTCTACGTACAATAAAGAAGAAACGATCGCTAGATATACATGGACTCTCACCATTTCTGCTAGATAAAATCCCTAAAAATTATTGGCACTTATTTGTTAAGTTGTACAATGATTCTTTCACTAATGGTTACATATTGAAGAAATTTAAAGAAGTAAGAATGGTACTGCTGGCGAAGAAAAATGCTATATGCACTGCGGATCAAACAAGACCTATCTCGTTGCTTGACTCTTTTTTTAAAAACGCAAGAAAGACTGTTTCTCAATCAGTTTCTACAAGTATTGAAGGACCGAGGCATTCTTCCTGATAATCAATCTGGTTTTCGAGCTGGGCATAGACTTCAAACACGTGTGCTACTGCTCATTGAACAAATTTCATCTTACATGTCAAATAGTTCGCCGGTTGCGACAGTCTTCGTTGATTTTTAATCTGTATTTGATCAACTTTGGTTTGAAGAATGTCTGGGGAAGTTGGTTCGAATGGGAATTCCAAGTATGTATGTCAAATGGATTCAAGCATGGTTAAATGATCGTCAAGCGACAATCGAGATACAAGGTAAAAGATCGAGATGGATCAATATTAACAGAGGTGGTCCGCAAGGTTCTAATTTAACACCAACGTTATTCATTACTTATCATAGTGATATGGCGGATTTTATTCCCGGGGCGATGTCCTTCTTCTTTGCTGATGATCTGGCAGCTATATTGGCGGGACACATCGGATTAAAATTTACAGAACAATGTGTTGATCTGGAACGAAGACTACAAAAGTTCATCGAACAACTGGAATTCTACTCGATATTAGCGGTGCAACCTATTAATTACTCTAAAACATAAATTATGTTCTCAGCGCGTGCTGTTTGTTATCCAAACCCAATGCCACAAGTTAGATGTGGAGATAATACGATCGAATGGACTTCCTCGTTCAAATATTTAGGATACTGGTTAACAACTAGGCTTGGGTGGGGAAATGTCATCGGTAAAACTCGAGTAAAGGTACGCCAGAAAACCGCATTAGTAAATTCGTTCAAAATTAATGGTACATCATCAACTCAACTTCGAAGAATTCTGTTTTCTGCCCTTGTACTACCTTACTTTACGTGGTTGTTCGGAATTTATCCCTTATTCACTGAGAGGCAGCGCACGGACCTTAATCATCTGTATTTTACGCTGCTAAAACGTATATCTTCGTGCCAATGCCGGGATGACTTTGTCTTCTCGTCTATTTATAATGAAAAATCGTTGGATGATCTCTGCTTCGGATATTGGGAAAAATATGCAAAGGCACTATCGAAGTCAAGGAATGGATTCCTGTTATTGGAACAATCAGAATTAAATTCTCACAGATCAGCTTGGCAGATGGGTACACAACGTGTTCGCTGTCTGCATAGATCCAAAAGATTTGTATCCCACACAGAGGTACTAGGTCAAGTGTTCAACTGGATGACAATGCAAGGTTCTGCTGACTCAGTTGTAGCACACAAGGAAGAAGAACTACTATCTTTTGCTATGTTTCCAGAAAGTTTTTTATAAGAAATCTCGTTTCAAGTGATTATAGGTCACGATGACAAAAAAAGAAAGGAACTAGAGAGAGGGAGAGAGAGAGGAGAAAGGAGGGAAGAGATAGTAAAGAAAAAAAAAGGAAAAAAAAACATAAATAGAGGGAATACAAACAATGTAAAGCAGCATGCCTGTGATAAAAAATAAAGTATGTGCAGAAAGACAAGGAAAAAAAGAGGATGAGGGAGAGAATGGTACTTAGCTTGGTTCTCGTTCTTCTTTTCTTTTTCTACTTCATCTCGTTTTATTCTTTCATCATATTTTCCTTTTTATTCATGTCTTTCTTTTTATTTATCATAAAGTATGGTGCAGCTAAAGTGTCCCTTTAGGACCGACATGGTCATAGGGCTTGATTGCTTAATTTAAAAAAAGCGATAAGTTGGCTAACTGCACTTCGTGCAGTCAGCCACCTTAAATACATAGACACAAAAAGAGTATTTTCAATGAGAAAAACTTTGAAACGATCTAATATGAAACTTCAGTAAATTCTAACGCATAGAATGAATGAAAAATTGTGAATAATTGTACTGCGTAGTTTTCGATGATTCTTCATTTTTTTTTTCATGCAGCTGACGCATCAAATAGATGGACGAACAATGAGTCTTGAGAGTCACTTCAAAAGAAAGAGAACTATATATGATTTTATTAATAAAACTTAAATAGAAAAGTTACTAATTGACAGTTAATGCCTTCGGAGGACAATCATTAGTAGGAATTGATCAGTCGATTGAAGTAAACTGAAATAATCATTCTTAGCAAAAGATTGTGAAGCAGCTTTACATGATTCCTACAGTAAATTTTATAAACATATGTTCCGATATTTTTAGATCAAAAATAAATCTATGCTATAGAGGAAGAAAATGTCTCGTGTCCAATCAAAACAAAACATTCTTCCACCTGTTCAAAATGTTGATGCCACAAATCCAACAAATGAAGTTTTGACGCAAAATAAAGAAGGCAATACTTTAATATGGTATGATACATCATTAAGTATAACAGATCAAGATACTATAAACACAAAAAAAGCACTTCGTGCTGTTAATGATTATGTTTTATTATTTGATAATGAAGAAAAATGTGTTCAGCATATTGGATCGACAGATGTTAGCAATGTCTTTATGGTCATATCCGGTTCAAGTGCAATAACGCTTCTTTCACAAATACACGAGCTAAAACAAGTAAAAATCATATGTATATTTTGCATGAACAAAGAAGCTTATCAATTCTTATTGAACGATTACAGCAAAATTATTGATATCTGTACTGAGCAGGAACAACTTGTTACATGTTTAAACCGCTCTATTGAATCTTTTTTTCAAAGTTCACCTTTAATCAGTTTAATGGATAATAACATCAAACAAGAAACGCATTTAAATGCAAGAGATGCATATGATTTTAAAAGACAACAATTAATCAAAGATATTATTATGAGAATACCATGAACACCACGATCAAAACAAAAGCTTATTGATTATTGTCAATTCTATTATCAGGGAAATGAGAAAGTACTGAAAGAAATAGACAAATTCAATGAACACTACGAAATACCAAGTCACGCTCTTCATTTTTATACATGCGACTCATTTTGGTATCGAACTATAAATCATATATTTCGAATTCAAGATCTAGAATTACTAGAAATATTTCATTTTTTTATTGTTGATTTATCTGAAGAATTGAAAGAACGTTTCGAAAGGTTAAAAACCTCATTATCATCATCCGAACAGAAGACACTAATACTTTATCGTGGACACAAATTTTCAAAAGAAGAATATCATCGATTTTCTTCATGTACATTTGCCAGATTCAATAGTTATCTTTCAACTTCGTCTGATATTGAAGTAGCAAAAATATTTGCTGGGTTCACCGAAGAGCAAACTTCGTCTGATCCAGACATTGTACAAGTTTTGTTTCATATTGAATTAGATATAATATCACTGAACAGTAATTCAGTCATTGTCGCTGACATATCCACATCGTCGCAATATGAAGAAGAATGTGAATATTTATTTGATTTCGGTGCGACATTTGAAATCATTAGTGCTAATCATAAGGATCAAATAATTAAAATGATTGTCTCAGATAAACCACAGCATTTAGCTTGGGCACGATTAAATGGTGAATATTTGTACAAATATGCTTCGCAAGAAATAATTGATCACATTGAAATCGATCCAGTATCAAATAATTTTGCATCGGATCTTATAGAAATTCATAAGTCTTTAACAAGATTAGACGCATTTGAAAATTATATTTTAAACACGTCGATTGATGATGACAATTATCAAACAGCTAGCAAACATTGTATCGAAGGATATACCCTTTCTCATATTCATCCGAGCTTATTATATGCTCGTGAATGTCGCAAGCTTAATCCAACAAATCCATATACTGATGAACATACAAATGCTTATAACCAAGCGATAAAATATTTTCAAGCTTTTTATAATTATGCATCAGATGATTTCATTAAATGGGCATTACGAGCTTTGGGATTTGCTCATTATAAGATCGATGATTATGAACAAGCGCAAATATATTTTAACAAAGCATTGAAAATAGATAATGATCCTCTAAATTTCGCGACATGTTGTTATTTTATTGGTTGCATATATAGCGAATTATCGGATCATGAAAAATCAATGAATTATTTTAATGAAGTATTGCAACTGAAGGATAGAATAAAACTATCGTTTATCGCTGCTACTTATCGTCAAATGGCTATGCTCAAAAATCAAAATAAAGAAAAAGATTATCCGTCATCGCTTGCAATGGCAAAAGAATACCTATTAAATGCCTTAAATATATATCAACAAACAAGCGACGAACTGTCTACATTAAGATGTCGTAGCGAGCTTTTAAATTTAGAAGGTTATACAAATATTGATGACTGTACTAATATATTAGATCAATACTTTAAATATTGTCAAGATCATCAAATTGTATCGAAACCCATTGCAGAACTGTATGAAAGAATAGCTTACGAATATTTTGAATATTTTGATTATGATCTGGCACTGAAATGTTATGTGAAAATCATCGTACACTTTCCAGATAATGAAATTTGTCATCAGATCATAGCTGATATATATATTAGAAAGAACGATTCAAAACCAGCCATTGCATATTTAGAAAAAACTCTCAACATAACCAAAAATGTAAGAAAAATTGTCCATTGCCTTCTCGCTATGGGTATGCAATATTGCAAAGAAAATAATTTACCTATGGCAATAAGATGTTTGGAAAAAAGTGTCTCAGAGTGCGAACAATCGGATTCTAACATACAATTTTATGATTATGTATTCAATTTGGAACTTGAACGAAAGAGTCAGATCGCCACATGTACATGGCTGGCCGAGTCGCATTGTCAAACAACAAAAGAATTGTATTTTTACACCAAGGCTTTAACTCTCTCTTTGGATTTTATACAACTGTTTCCATCGGAAATTATTTCCATTTTCAAATCAATTGACTTTATCCAGAAGTCTAATCACACTGAACAGATAAGACGCATAATAGAAGAAAATAAAAACAATAATGAAAGTCATCTGGAAAAATTTACTCTGAAAAGAATATTTGATAACTACATTAGCATGGGTGATTATGATGGCATGAATCGTTTATTTTATTATGTAAAAGCATTGCAGATTTATAATAAAGGAAACAAAATAGAAATCAATGGTGACATTGACTCAATGTGTACATCGAAAATCAAACGGATCCTCCAATTACAGTATTCAGATGATAAATTAATAGATCATATTCAACAACAGTTATTACAAGTAACGAATTCACAGATTGAAACAGAAGAAGAACAAGATTTATTTAACAAAAACTACTCTGTTGACTTAAAAAGAAATCAACTTGCCAAAATCTATTCTTCTATTGGAGATGTATACTCAAAAATGAAAAATTATGAAAAAGCAAAACTAAATTATGACAAATGTATTGAATATTATAAAACGTTTTCATCATTGTTTCATCTTGAGATTCTTGATTTATACAGCAAGATGAATTATATTACTCAAATGTAGCAGGTACATATCGAATATGGAATCAGTGCAGCATTGAAATACGAACAGAAACCATTTAGTTAGATTTTATGTCAACATTCTCCTATCAGTTTATAATAAAACTGATATATTTTACATAAAATCAAATACGCACAGTTCATATAATTATGAAATTCATTTTATCTGATATATTCTTGTTGATTGATGGAAAATAACTAAATGATCGGATGTAGAAATGACATCATTAGCATCACCCATTTATCAAAGAGATACAAATTTCAACACTGAGATTTTAGAGGGTGTGGGTGTGGGTACGGGTGTGAGTGAGTCTATATGTGACTCTGCTCTTAACTCACACTTTCATAGCCACACCCACACCCTAGTTAAGAAAAAACGCTTTTCCTATATGAGCGCATAAGTAAATTTATAGAAATCATGACTTTTCAGAAGAATTTGAACAGTTTGTTCAAGATTTTTATTAATAAATTTACTAGCAATCAAAAAATTTGCGTATAAATACTACATTGTATGGAAATAACTATTAAGGCTAATGATTCAAATGTTTCTTTGACTAGCGAATACTCGAATAGGAGTTAACAGACATGTTCTTTTTTTTTTTTTTTTTTTTTTTTTTAATGCATAGTTTTTAAAACAATCAATGACATAACTATTAACTACTTCTGGCAGCGTTCTGCAAGATTTCAGCATCATCATTTTAAAGATCGTGACCTTGCAAAGTTCTCTTTTTCTTTTGAATAACTTTTGAAAAATTTATATTCCAAATATTCAAACACAAAATTTTATTTTGGCACAAAATATAAGATTTTCTTAAGGTTAATTAACGAATAGAGTGAATATTTGTGATACAAGTCAATTCTAATTTTATCTGAATTTTCAATTATTCAGGAGAAATATATTTATTTAAGATTAGAAGATTTAACTGATAATATCTTAGAGTTTCTGAATATCGTCGATAGCGAATGCCTGAGAAAGAATGTCTTTACAAGAGTTCAAGAAATGACATATTGGAGAAAATCAGGTAATCTTATATGACAATAAAATCGAATGATCGAGTTTATGATCCTGATGATTCTTAAAAGTAGATATCAATGACAATTATTAGCTAGAAAAATGTTGATGAGATTGATTGATCTATTCAGAAGAGACAGACAATAAACTGTAACTGTGGAAAAATATTTTCTTAGTCTAGAATATTTGCAACGACTTGCTTGTTAAAACAAAACGCAAATTAAATTGATAATTGTCCCAAAATCAAAAAAAAGAAACACTTCTTCAGAAGAAAAAGTGAAGAATACAACGAATTCCTAGACAATAGAATGTATGGCTTTGTAGATGAACCGAAAACTCACACCTTATTGCATATATTTCTGTTTAAATTAAATTTTACGAGAAAAAATTTCTTTATTTTGTATCGTCACATGTATGCAAAGTTTACTGTGTCAACAACAAAAAAAATATTTGAAATAAAGTTAAATAAGTTAGAACACAAAATTTAAATCACGAAAGTAGATTGTGAGAAAAAAAGTTTTGAAGCTAATCATCTTTCCTATTCTCAATAATGAAAATAGAATAGGATTCAACATCATACTATTCATTGAAACAACGACTTCTTTCATAAACAGATATTTGTAATTTTGAAAAAATGAATAAATATAGATAGGCATATGAAAAAAAAATGATTATCTAAGATATAATCATTTTTGTAAAGTTGTGATGTTATATGTGATTATCAAACGATGTTCGATGGAATATTTTGCAAAGCGATCAATTTACATTTATAAACATTTACCAAAAATCCAGAAATAAATTTAAAATAAAATCTAAATATGTTTGAAGTATTCTAGAATGTGTTTACAAGCCTTTTAGTATCTTTAGAATGTAACAAGAACATGATGCGATCATTTTCTTACAGAATATTCGTTAGTGATAATCGAATTTTCGTTATCTATGATTTATTTTTTCTGAAATCATGCATTTTGATGATTGTATTGTTGAGTTTTAACTTATGCGTTTCATTAAAAAAATTCTCAGAAATTTACAATCTAAAATAATTTTACAGGATAATACCGCGCTTGTCAGGCATCGAACTGAACTCGAACCTGTGGAAGTTGGTTTGATTCCTTTTCTGATAGTTATCGTTAAATACTGTCAATGATAAATTGCTTTTTACATTAAAATATTCAATTTTTTTGGTATTGATAACAAAATAATAAAAAGTACGAATAATAAATCAAGCAAAAAAAGAATTGTTATTTGAATAAAAAGAAACAATTGTGTAGTGCGAGACTTTTTGAATTTATCATTTTCAATGGATTTTCAGAAAACAGTTCAATAGGATGAAGTATGGTAGCTGCTTTTACATATAATCTACTAAATCAAAACGATTCAAAGATTGTAGATGTGGTTAAACAAAATATCAACATCTATACCCACATTCTTCTTGATATTATTAAAAGTACTGGTTATAAATACAAGTTTTAATCCAGATTTGTGCAAATTTCTCTTAAACTCTAACGACATGGTTTAGAAAAGTCTTCGTTAAAACTTCAATGGCTAAAATATGTTCAATGGATACATGTAATTGACTTATTTACTAGTTAAATCAATGATTGAAATCATAATAAAACATACGATATGAAATATAAATCAATAAGCCAAATAGAAATTAGAGCACAAAATAAATGACAATCTATTCTGATTGGTTTAG